TAACAAATACTATTATTTTTCATCCTTTCTCTCTTTTTTTTGTACATCATGATCATCCTCCTCTATGTTTTTCTTTCCTTAACTCTTTTTTATCTCGCTCTTCAAAATTCTATTTCTCTTCTTTTTTTTTTCTAATCTTTTCATCTAACAATCACTGCTCTCTTCTTTTACTCTTTTTTTATACTCCTCATACTATTGTTTATTTTTTGGTTTTATCTTTTTTATCTATTTCTTATTTATAAATTTTCTTCTTCTCTGACTCTAGTCTTCTATTTTCTTTTTTCTCTCCATTTCTTATTCCTTTCTTTCATTTTTACCCTCTTTTTCCTGGTTGCATAAATCTCTAATCTTTTTTTTGCTTCAATTATCTATCTTTTTTTATGTCACTTTTTTTTTTTTTTTTCTTCTTCTTTTTTTTTTTCTTTTTCTATCAAATAAACCACCTATCCCTCCCTCGTGTTCATAACATCTTCGTTCTTTTTTTTTTCCTTTCTCTTTGTTTCTTATTATATATCTTTTATATCTTTCCCTTAGTCCTTTTCCTTTCATTTTTTCCGGTTTCCTCTTTTAACTCAATTCCTCCTTCTTTTCTTCTCTTCTATCTTCTTCTTCTTTCCTTTTTTTTTTTCTGTTTTTTTCTTTTCTTTCTCTTTTTCTTTTACTTTTTTTCATTTTTTCTTCTTTTATTTTTTTTTTTTTTTTCTTTTTTAATTTTTCTTTTTTTTTTCTTTTTGTTTATTCTTATCGGCCTCTTATCTTTATTTTCATTTAGCCCCTTTTCATAACTTTTCCCCACATTTCTAACAGTTTTCTCTTTTTTCCACTTTTTTCATTTTTTTTTTCTGCTTTTACTTAACTTAGCTTCTTTATTTTTTTCATTTTTTTTTTTCTCTTTTTTTTCATATTCTTCTCCTCTACTCTCATCTCTTCTCTTCCCTTATTTTTTTCCTACTATCTCTCTTACTAATCTTTCACTTTTTCCACTCTTCTAAACGACTGTAATGCTTTTAATTCTTTTTTTTATTTTCCTTTTCTCATTTCCCCTATCTTTTTTCTTTTTCTTTCTCTTTCTCTTCTTCTTTTTTCGAAAAATCTTTTTACTCCACCTTTTCTCGTTTATTCTTCTTTCTTTTTTTTTTTAGGACTTCTTTTTTCTAATTTTCTCTGATTTTAATTTTTTTTTTTTTATTTTTTTTTTTTTCTATATTCTTTTTCATTTTATTTTCTTCTTCTCAGTTTTCAGTTTTCTCTTTTTCTTTTCTTTTCTTATTCCCTTATCTTTTCATTTTTTTACTTCTTCTTTTCATTCTTTTTGTCCGTTCATTAACTTCTCCTTTTTTCATCTTTTCTGTCCTTCAAGAAGAATGCTCTCTTTTAATTCTTCTTTTCTTCTTTCTCGATTCTCATCACTTCTTCTCTCTTCCTACCTTTTTTCTCATTTTCTCTTTCTTCTCTTCATTATTCTTCTTTTTACTTTTTTTCTTCTTTCTTCTACTTATGACTTTCTCGATGTTCTTGCTTAACTTTAGCCCACTTCTCTCCTACCTTAATCTCATTGTGATTTCTAATCTCTGATTCCTTGCTTCTTTCTTCTCTTTCTACTCTCGACCTTCTTTCTCTCTCATTCGATCTCTCATCTTTTTGAAAAGCACCTCGAGAGCGAATCTTTCTTCTCTCTTCCTCTCTCTTGTCATATCTTCATCTTCTTTTCATCTCCTGCTTCTACCATTCTCCTAAAAGATCTCAGGAATTTCATTCTTATATTGAAAAGAAGAGTCTCATCTTTGTCATTCATTCTTCTTTTCATTCATCTTTCTTTTCAATTCTTCTTTTCATTCTTCTTTTCATTCTTCTTTTCATTCTCCTTCTTCTTCTTTTCATTCTTCTTCTTCTTCTTTTCATTCTTCCTTTTCATTCTTCTTCTTCTTCTTCGTCGTGCCCCGTGACTGCCCAAATGAGTGAAGTGTGTGGTGATTCTAAGATCGACGGCACTCATCTGCATGTCATACTGACTGACAGTATTATTTCTCTTCCCCAGCAGACTCCAAGGGCATTTAAATTAAAGGTACAGTGTTCTGCACTAATATAAAGGCTCTCTGAAGCCTAGAAACCCTTTAAATAAGTTAAATTCGCGGCGAATAAATTCGCATCGAATCGAATTTCTCCCACAAATTCGTCAAGATGTTAGGACAGGGTTTCCCAACCAGGTTTCCATGGAACCCCACATTAACTCCAGAGGTTGCTAGGGGTTCCTTGAGCAATTAACAGTTTTTACCTCTCAGATAAGTTCTCATTGACATTATTGATCTTTTTGGATGTCTGTAAGGGGGGAATTCTTCTCAATGACCACATGTGTAAGGAGCATTCTTCCCACTGACCATCACACTAGTGTATCATGAATTATAGATATAATTTTTAGCAGGGGTTTCCTGGGCCTGGAAAATTATTTAATTTGTTTCATCTGTGTTGAGAACATTGAGAAAAGCAGTGTTCGGAAGTGGTTGCAGCTTATCGGAATATGGGTGTTTTCAGTTACATATCGGTACTGTGGCTGGTTTGGAAAGCTATGAGTCTAGGAGGTGGTTTAGGTAATGGTTGCTCATGAGTTTGGTGGGTACCTCTCAGCTGCTGTAGGAGGTGGTCATTATTCTAAAGTGGGTTTTGGTGAGCAGTAGGTGGCAAAGAATGCTTTACGGGGAATGTACTGTGATTTTGTTTCTTGGATAAGGTGATATTTGTGATAGAGAGTCTGGAGCAAGTGGAATTATGTGGATTTTCATTGGTATAGGAAATACAGGTAGCTGTGAGTCTAGGGAAGGATGAGGGTGACCATTTTCATTGTGGGAACTGATAGTACAGCTTCTATGAATGGAGCACGAGGGCAGGAAGGGCATCTATAGGCTACACTTGATGAGTGCCTGTCACAGGTATTAACTCCTGCAGTACTGGAAGATAACCTCTGCGGGGGCAGCCATGGGCAGAAGATGTTAGATTTTAACCTAACACAACAGCAACCAGCACGCAGAACTCCTCATTCATGGCAAACACCATCCCTGGTGATGTTAATAAAAAAAATCCATTAAACTTCAGCTTTAATATATATTTTTTTAGTATCAATTAGAACTTTAAAATACAGCACCCTGGAACTGGATCAAATGTTTACTTTAAAAAATAATGTGCATTTTACTATTTTTTACTATTTTTTTTTTTCAGGAGCCTGGAAAGCAATGTACCAGCAATCAGCAGATCGCTGGTGTCATCCAGGACTCCTGGAGACTGTAAGTGTGAGCTGCCTGCCTGTACATTGGACAGGAAGAATCAATGAACTACCAGAGTGCACAACAGCGCTGTGGTAGTTCATTGAGATCTACAAGCCGACATCCTCATGGGCTTGTCGGTACTTGTAGATTCCCATTCACCGAACTCTGTGAATGAATGATGCGGCCAGGCCAGCGGAGAGAGATGTTGATTAGAGCAGTGTTTAACCACTTCCCGTCCAGCCTATGTAGATAAATGGCCGGGCGGGAGCTCTGCTGATGCGGGTGGACATTTCTAAACGTCCCCCTGCATCCATTGCCTGTGCGCGTGGCACCACAACCGGTGCCCGCTGTGTCCTCCAAACACAGATTGCTGTACGGGACCTCCTGTGTGAGGTCCTGATTCACGTGATCACTGATTGGTCAATCAGTGATCACATGAATAGTAGTAAACAAGATGTCACTTCCTGACATTGCTTACTACTTGTGAAATCTGTGAATGATCACAGAGGTCACATGGTACAAGGCTACTAACAACAGCTTTTTACCATGTGACAAGCTGTGACCAATCACAGCTCTCACAGTATTTCTCAATGGCTGCAGGAAGGAGAAATGATTGCTTTTACAGCCTTTATGGTTGTAAAAGCAATCAGTGTAAGAAAAAAAAAAATCTTCAGCACCCCCTACAAGTAGTACAGTGTCACTATGTGACACTATACTGCTAGGGTGACAGTATGTTTAAAAAAAAAATATTAAATAAACTTTTTTGAAAAATTTAAATTTTGGGCTATAAAATTTGTTTTTTGTTTTTTTTTTTACTAAAAAGATGAATAAATGTTTGCAAAGATTTATGAAGAAAGATTATTTGCAAAATGTTATAAGAAAAACACTTTTTTTTTCAAAAAAAAAATAAAAGTCCCAGTGGTGAATAATTACCACCAAAATATAGTTTTATCTGTCTCAAACAAATGCTAAAAAACTCATTGGGGTACAGTGTTGCATGACCGTGCAATTGTCATTCAAAGTGTGATAGCACTGAAAACTAAAAATTGGCCTGGAGTGGAAGAGGGTGAAAGTATCCGGACTTGAAGTGGTTAATGGGACGTGTCGGACTGCAGGAGAGCCAAGTGTTTGAGAGCTGCGGTCTGACTCTCCTATGTGCTGGTAGCACAGGGTTTTTAATCCTTGCTGCAACACGAAGTTGTTCCTTTTGGTTCTTCACACCAGAATTACCAAGAAGTATAGTCATTCTGGAACAGAAGGACTTCCCAAAACAGTTGGCACAAGCTTGGAAGCCTACGATTGTCTAAAATATCTTTGTATGTTGTAGCATTAGCAGTACCCTTCGCTGGAAAATCCTGAACCCAATTGTTGGGAGCATTATCCACAAATATTTGGCTATATAGTGTATATATCTACCCCAGCTTACCTGAAAAACAAGTGAAGCTAATGTTCAAATAAAAGTACCAACTCAACCAAAATATTGAACTTCACCCCTTCTATACACCGATAGGACTTTTCTTTCAAGGTTGAGCTGAAATGTTTTCTTAGATTCAGAACAGAGCGGATTAGGTGACCCAGGCAGCTTTGATTATCTGCTACCTTCAGGTAGACAGCTGAAACATATTTAATCCACTCACTCTGGAGTCTGACTTACCTAATCCCCCATATTTTCTGATTGACATTTTAATACATTGAATGTTGCTGGAATAGCACACTGATTCATGACATCTCTCTTGCAGCGTCACAGGTGGCGAGCTCTTCGATCGGATCATTGAGCGAGGATATTACACAGAGAAGGATGCCAGTCAGCTCATCGGACAGGTCCTGGACGCTGTGCAATATTTGCACAATATGGGAATTGTACACCGTGATCTCAAGGTATTGTGGACTTGAATGAAGCTTAAAAACTGTAGGATACCAATTATATATGGCTTTATTAATGTTTGCAAAGCATAAGGAACTTTTTAAAGGAAACTGTACTGATGAATTATGGATGCTGCCAGTGCATTTATTTCCCATTGCCTCCTACTGTCTTTCACTCTTCACCAGTATGCCTTGCCTTCATTGTATATGGAAATATGGAAGTATTTGGTGGCCCTCTATGACTAAGCCCCTGTTGGGCTGAAATGGAGGAGATGGAGCAAGGTCAGGCAGGCAGTTAAGTTTTTTTGTCTTGTGGTGTATGTATCCAAGTGACAAACCTTATTAATAAGCATTGAATAGAAAAGTGAAGGTGGGGATTTAGTTTTTTGGTACTCGAGGAAGCATTGGCCTAATCAAGTCAGCACCCGATATCATTGAGTGAACTGGTAGCCCTCCTCGAATGGTATCCTTTGCATACATTTGGTTGCCTTTAGATACAGTCGCATAATAAAAGGAAGCAATGATTCTAATTTTGAGTATCTCTTACAATGCAGTGGTTTCTGCTGTATATAAGGGAAATTAGTGTCAGAAATGTCTGAAGGCTTTCATCATCATTCCCTATCTGTTGGGAGACCACCCCATGAGTGGGTCTTGAGCCTTCTCTCTTCTGTGGAATAGAATGAAAGATACAAGGACAAGTCGGTAGCTTTGGGTTATTTTCTGAAGAGCAACATTGGGTCACTTTCTGAAGAGCAGCAAACTCCTTGGGGCACAGATCACCTGTCCTCTTCAATCCATGGCAGTCTGAGATCTGCCTACTGAACTCTGGGCTCTCCCTTCCACGCAAGTCACTGAGTGAGCTTCAACCAAGGACTTCACTGTGGCTTAGCACTAATATTGCTCTAGCCCCCATGATACCATACACAGGGACCCAGATTTCCAAAATGCCTAGGGAGGCACCAGTGGGTGTGGAGAACCTCACTCCATCGGGCACATCGGGCAACAACCAGCCTGGTGGAGCCAGGCTAACTAGGGTTACTACAGAGCCTTTACTGGTGCCTGTCCTCGTTCCGCCATATACAATTCTCCTAAGCAAATAATTGATTTCTTATTTAGGAAGATGAATTCTTTTTTTGTATAATCAAACTTACACAAATTGAACATCGGATGTAGCTGTTTTTCATACTGCTACACTTATCTTCCAAAGTAGCACAAGTCTAAATGGAGAGATTCAAAATTCTCACAGTTCAAAAAGGCATCACATAACTCCCAAAGAAGGAGCAAATGTTCTTCCCTCCTATCAGCACAAGGGAACAGTCTCAACATTCCCCTGAAGTATAGCCCACAGACCTGTTCTACAATCTCTCCCATGATGGATTTATAAGTGCATCCTGAGCAAGTGGAGTTCCTCTTAAGCAGGCCATACATGGGTCGAATTCCTAACGATTTTTCGATCAAAAATCTAAAACATTGTTTGTTCAGTAATCTGATGGTGCCACCAATGATTTCGAAATTGGTTGTTTTTTTTATAAATTTTCCAGCATGCCCAATAAACGAAATAAGGAGGAACCACAAAAATCGTCCAGTGCCATTGCTCCACTAACAGAGCAAAAATCAGCTGATTATTCTTAGGTCCGATTTTTCGAACCAAAAATCGTTCGGAAATTGACCCATGTATGGCCGGCCTTACAAAAGTAAACCAATAAGTTGCCACACTTCAGTCCTTAAATACCACAAAAAGACAATGTCTGATGTGTGGCACTGGATCAATAGAGGTGAGGGTTGGTTTTAATGAACATACAATGGCATGCATCTTCCTTCAAGGGAGCTGATCCACAATGAAGGAACAGTGTGGTTCTGGTCCTAGGTTGCTATCTCTCTGATTGCAACAAAGAGTGCTCAGCAGATGATAAACTCTGGGGTAGGTATTGAGGAGCACTCAGTACAAAAATTCACTTAGAGGTCTTTTTAAAAGGTATATTGGTAAAGTGCAGTGGTCTCCAAACTGTGGTTCTTTGCTTGTCTGTATCTGGCCCTTGGGGCACTATTTATTACTCCCACTGACACCACCAATGGGGCATAATTCCTAACACTGACACCAAAGATGGGGCATTGTGTATTTTTACTGATGCCAGGACAATTTCTACCCCCACTGGCCACAATCCGGCCCTTCTAAACTCTTAAGGACAGTAAACTGGCACTTTGTTTAGTAAGTTTGAAGACCCATGGTAAAGAGCGTCAACAAATACAGCCAACATGTTTCAGTGGAAAGGTCTCCCCTTCCTCAGGGCTGTCGAATCTTAACGATGCTTTGACCAGCCAGGAGTTCATAGTGCTGGCATGATTTGACAGCCCTGAAACGTATTGGATGTGTTTTGATACAAACAATTTCAAAAATACCTCTAAATGATATGAGCTTTTGTACTAGGCGCTCCTCAATACCCATAGACATTAGGCAGGAGCACCGGTTAAAGGACCATACACTGTACCAAAAGATCCCTTGTTCCTGAGTAGGTATTTATGGTTTATGCTCACACCTTTTTGTCTTTAATTTCAGTGTCTGCCCTTGCAATAGGAAGTTCTGGTTCACTTCCTTGAGTACTTCTATTTATTTTTTCACTCCAAGGATTCCTCCACGCTGTTTCCCAACATCTTGCATCAGAAGCTTCACATGTGCCACATGTAGTATATATCTTTATTTTTTTTCAGCTTATACTTTATGCTTACAGCCAGAGAACCTCCTCTATGCAACTCCTTTTGAAGACTCCAAAATCATGATCAGTGACTTTGGCCTCTCCAAGATTGAAGATGGTGGAATGATGGCCACAGCTTGTGGGACTCCAGGCTATGTGGGTAAGAGCTTCAGGACTTGTTACCATATAGTTCTACCTACAGAAATGAAAGAAGAGTTTGCAAGGCTTGTAAATTATCTTTAGTACAAAACCGTATTGCATATACATCAAGAATTGAACAAATTTGAACGATTGTGCTATGTAATGTTACAGTTTCTAATATATTTCTTAAGATCGTTAGCTCCAACTGGTGGCCATAATATTTAATAATAATAATATACCATAAAGCCAGTTAAATACTGCATTATGGCCACTATATGGAGTTCACAATCAAATGAAATATAGCTTTATAGTAATAAAAAAATTATGATATGGTCTTCGTAAAGGATGATAGGAGTTATCAATTAAAATGAATTGCTTGATTTCCCAACAGCTGAAATTGCTGTTTATTGTGTCTGCAGCCCCTGAACTCCTGGAGCAGAAGCCATATGGGAAAGCTGTCGATGTATGGGCCTTAGGCGTCATCTCATACATTCTGTAGGTATTGCCCAGTACTGATTCATATGATTTAGGGACATTTTTGAGTAAGCATTGGGTATTACCCAAATAAACCAAAAAACTTTTAATGAAAAAGATCTATTAAACAAAAATTCAAAATAAAAAATTCCTAGGGCCACTCAGTTAAAACCATTTAAATTCTGTCATAAGAACACAATAAACGTTTGAATTGTTTTAAATAGGCAGTCCTAGTAATTCATTTTTAAATTTTCATGTAATTTATTTGAGCAACATCCTATACTTTACTCAAAAAAGTCCCCTATATCATACTTATTTTTGATTTTATGATATATTTTGTTACAATTACAACGCAAATTCTAGGCAATTATAACATTTTTTACAGAACTGAAGCTTATGTCAGTAACCGTGTCATATTTCAGAAACCAGCAATAGTTGGTAGGTGGTATTTAGGCAATATATAGACTGCAGGCATATTCAAGTAGAAGTTGAAGTTTAAAGAACTATCGTTATATATATTTTTTTTTTCAGTCTCCTGTGGGAGGAAGTACATGCCATACTTGTCCCATGTTGCCAGGTGCTTTCTAACCCTAGCACTGAGGTCCGATTTGCTCGCTCCCTTCTGATCCAACAACAGCTAGGAAGGAGACGACCACTTCATAATGGTCATCTAGGCTCTGAAGACTTTCTTGAGAAAAGTAACAGCAAGAGGAATGCAGAGGCTGGCACATTCCCCCTTATTCTCAATATTCTTCTTGCCACTGCTTGTCTCGGGAAAGTGCTCAGAGCTGAGACAAGCTGTCATTTTGAAGTGTCTCTCCTTTCTGGCTGTTGTCGGTTTGACTGCAGTAGGAGGAGGGGAGGCAGGTCAGACCTCATAGCTAGGTGTAGCAGTACCCCCTAGAGTCGCTACATGATTTAGGCCCCCCTATAGTCTTGCACAGCCAGGCAACACACACTTCCACATAAGCTTGCATCCAGAGTCAGAAATCAGTCCTTGAGCTTTTTTTTTTTTTTTATTTAGGGAATTTGATTTGGGATAGAGTTAAGGGGGTACAGGATGCCCGAGGAAACAGATAAACAGAGGACAACTTTCTGGAACTATTTACAATCCTACTCTGCAGCACAGTCTTTGCTGGAGAACTAGCCAGCATCTCCCATTGTACCACCCCAGACTCTAGGTGAACTTCTTTTCAATCAGCAATCTGGAGGTGTCACTGAACAGGGGATCCAGTGCCTGTCACGTTAAGAGATGAACAGTCACTGGCAGGTGGCTAATCTGGTTTCCCACCAGAGGGCTCCTTCCCCTATCCGCCCAGGAGGTGCAGGTGTACTCACTCAGATCCTCTGCTGTACCGCTGGTGGGTTGGTGGCTGCTACCAGGCCTATCAGCTGGGCTGCTCCTTCCCTGCCATACAGGTGGTCCTCTCTCAGGGGGCTGGAGAGCTTTCCTCCTTTCCTGCCATACAGGTGGTCCTCTCTCAGGGGGCTGGAGAGCTTTCCTCCTTTCCTGCCATACAGGTGGTCCTCTCTCAGGGGGCTGGAGAGCTTTCCTCCTTTCCTTCCATACAGGTGGTCCTCTCTCAGGGGGCTGGAGAGCTTTCCTCCTTTCCTGCCATACAGGTGGTCCTCTCTCAGGGGGCTGGAGAGCTTTCCATCTCCAGGCCTGCAAGTAGGCCCCCATCCCACTGGGCATCCTCACAACCTCCTTCCTTAAGCCTCACATCTTTTTCTCTCTTCCACCTGAACTCTCTTGTAAATGAGCAGGCTCCAGCACTTTTAAGGGTGTCCAGCCACTTGCCAAACCTGCTGGGCAAAGGTCCTTCAAGAGTGCAGCCAGCCACTCCTCAGATCCACCCACTGCCTCTAGAGCCTTCCTCCAAAGCCCTAGAGCAGGGGGGAATTCCAGAGTGGCCGGCCTGCAGAGCCTCTTAGCTCCTGACCATGATTTGACCTTCTAGCTATTACACCCAGACTGCTACTCAGCCTTCCTTACTACCAATTAAACACTAACTCCCCTGGTTAAACTAGGAGGGTGCTACATAGGGTTAGGAAGTACTTCCAACATGGGACAAAATACTACATATACTTTGTTCCACGGGGGACAAAACAGCAAAAATATAAATAATAATAGTTCTTCTTTAAGTAAGCCTTTTACTTTGTAGGAAAGATGAAGGAAATGTCAGAGCTCTGGAGTTGCTCATGCCTTACAATTATTATTTATCCAGACAGCCAGAACAGCCAATAAACACGAGGCACCCAATATGCAAATATTGACTTTCAGCTCTGAAGCCCAAACACTGCTATGGTCTCCACCCATCCCACCTCTCCTGCCGTGTCTGCTTTGGTAGGCAGTACTGTTGCCTATTCAAGTCAATGGGGCTGTGTCACAACTGCCCTGCAACCACGTGAAATGACCAAGGTAGCCTTGTGGTGCTACAGGCTTTCAAGAGTTAAAACAGGTGTCCATGAAAAGACATGATGCCTCTGAACTGTCAAATATGGTGGATAGTTTTTTTGGAGGAACATTGACAGCCGCCACAAGTCCTAATAGCGTGGAGCAAGGTAAGCTGAGATGCCCACGCACTGCTGGTAGTGGGTACAGAGTGAGCTAAGCTGCTGAATCATTCCTGATGAGGCATGGTGAACTGAGTTGCTATCGTAAGGACTTGAAAAACATCAGTGCTTCAGATGGGAACTTTAAAAGACGAATGGCTCCACAGTTCCTTTTAGCTACAGAGTTCAGTAAGGGCTTGTTTTAAAGCACATTTACTGCTTAAGAATATATAAATACTTGAACATCTATAGTCTGACCACAGGTCGCAGGTTAATTTAAAGTGACTTGTAACTAAATTGATGAACAGATGTTTCTCAAGTTGTTACTATTTTATAGACTCTGTGGATATCCGCCTTTCTATGATGAAAACGACTCGGAGCTTTTCAATCAAATCATAAAAGCAGAGTATGAATTTGATTCACCATACTGGGACGACATATCTGAATCAGGTACAGTGTGTAACCAAGCCTATCTGTTCCTATTTTTGGCTGGACTTTCATAGGTTTTGTACAGTAATAGAGGTGGGGCACATCTCAGTGGATGCTATTCAATAGAATATGGAAATATGGAGTGTGGTTTGGTAAATGGGACAGGGGGGACGGGAAGGCTTAAGGACCAAGATCACTCACAAAGTGAAAACATGTTGTAGGGGACATTATGGTCATTCTTCACCATATGTACCTACTACAACACCCATAATAGTGAACAGCAACAAAAAAAAAAGCATGAAGTATGAATAAATTAACAAACTAAACCAGCTAAAGGCAGTCAAATTAAACACCTTATTTGAGCTTGGTTTGTCTGGAATCCAGATGTTGCTGCCATTGCTGGGCCAATGAACTGTAGGAGGAATAAACTAACGCCCTAGACCAGGGTTTCTCAGCAGGGTTCCATGGAACCCAAGAGTTCCTCCAGAGGTTGCTAGGGGTTCCTTGAGCAATTAGCAATTTCTGCCTCTCAGGTAAGTTCCCACTGACACCATTGATCTTTTTAGCTATCTGTAAGGCTGTAATTCTTCCCAATGACCACTAGTGAAAAGAACATTCTTCCTGTTGACCATCACACTAATGTTTCATGAGTTGTAGATATAGTAATGTTTAGAAAGGGTTCCCTGAGACCAGAAAGTTATTTCATGTGTTCCTCTGTTCTGAAAAGGTTGAGAAAGGCTTCCTCTAGACAGAGGCAATCAAAGACTTTATGGTTAATTATTGCATGGGTATGGACATACATATATATCTGCCATGTATCCAGCTGGTCTCGATGTCTCTTCCTAGAAAAGATCCTACTATCATCTTACATGACTTGCTCTGCATGACTTTACTGGATTCTCCTTTCATCACATCTCACCAATACTTTTTATGCCAGACGGTTTAAATTCACTTAATGCTTGTAAAGGGAAAAGATTTCTCTATGCTTCTAGAGCCACAAAAAAAACCCTTCTAATAAAAACAGCAAAAAAGACATTTACTGGATAAAAAAAATGAAATAATAGGATCCCCGGGGAATAGAGGTGTCCTAGCTCATAACTGTCAGCCATTAGAGACACATTGGGAGAAGGTACACTGTAAACTGGTCTGTAGAGAACTAGATACCTCTACTGATACAATGCTACTGATAACTTAAATTGCAGCAAAAATGTTTAACTTTTGAAGTCCTTTTGTGTTTTTTCTGTCTATCTTTTGTGGTTTTGTGTTATTTTGATTGAAATGAAAGCCAGTGAGGCTTGAGGACAATAGGGACCTTGTGGCTTGATTGAGCTGCCTACCCAAGTCATTGAAAAGTCGTTAGTCATTGAAAACTGAATATTCAGATTCTTACAAAGTTCAGCCATGACTTGTTCTCTATTAGTGGTGGCATAGTGGGTGGTTCTTAATGCCAAGCCACCCGCTAGCATCCCCCAAAACTGTGACCGAGCTGTCACCGAAGGCTCACGATCACATACTTACAATTGGTAGCTGGTAGGATGGGCTCCAGATGACATCAGCATAGTGCTGACAATTACAGAAAAATTGGGAGACCCTCCTATCAAACCAAACAATAGTGTTCAGCATGGACTGACATGACAACTTCCAGCTGTCAATTGTTGCTAAGGAAGTAGCAGGTGCTGGCACCGTCACATCCTCCATACCATTACCAACCACTGATGTCACCTCACCTGGCCCTTTCATTTACATTACCAGGAATCTCTGGTTGCTTAAGCAAAGGGGCAAGGATAGGGGGTGGCATCATTACCTAAATATAACCACATGGCCATATTTGGGAAATGATGTTTACCACTTTCCCCATCCTTTCCTTATATTTCTACCCAGGAAGCTGACATTTGCTGAGTGGCATCGTCGGGTTTTTTTTTTTTTCGACGGGCATAGCACATCGTGATTGATGTGGATGCGCATCATGGGATTTTTTTTTTTTCCCCCTTTCCTGGCCTGCCAGCCTGCATGCTTGAATAGGGGTCTGATATGGAATTAAATAAAGGGGGGACCCCATGTTTTTTTTCTTGATTTTTGTATTGGGTTCCCCCATAAAAATCCACTTTTTCATGCATGGGGCCCCCCTCAAAAAAAACATTGGTCCTAAAGGTACTGGAATAATTTTGAAGAACCCCATGCCATTTGTTTTGTGGGAATTCCCCATTAACATTTATGAGACCCTCATCTAGGACAAGGGCTTGGTATAGATGAATGGAGTTCCCGTCCGATTGCTAACAAAATGACAGCTCCCTGATGATTTGTTCTGTTTGTAAGCAATTTAAACATACACTTCTCTTTGTAAATAGCAGCCCTTAAGTACCCCCATCAGGTCACATTTTAGGAAATTCCTTTTGGATAAAGAATCAGTATGTTAATGGATAGAAAACTGGCTAAAAGATGGTATTCAGAGAGTAGTGGTTAATGATCCATACTCTGATTGGTCTAGGGTTGTCAGTACCCCAAGGTTCAGTGTTGGGACCCTTACTTTTTAATATATTTATAAACGATATAGGGTCTGAGATTAAAAATCCCATTTCAGTCTCTGCAGATGACACCAAGCTGTACAGTGGAATGTCTCCAATTTACAAGCCAACCTCAGTGCTCTGTGTAATTGGGCAACTATGTGGCAAATGAGGTTTAATTTTGATAAATGTAAGGTTATGTACTTGGGGGCTAAGAATATGCATGCATCATACATACTAGGGGGGTACAACTGGGGTAATCAATGGTGAAGGATCTGGGAGTTCTGGTAGATCACATGCTTAATAATGGCATGCAATGCCAAGCTGCGGGTTTCTAAAGCGAGCAAAATCCTCTCTTGTATTAAGAGGTATAGACTCCAGAAGGAGAGATATCATATTACCCCGGTACAAATCATTAGTAAGACCTCATCTGGAATATGCAGTTCAGTTTTGGGCACCAATTCACAAAAAGAACATTGGGGAACTGGAGAAAGTACAGAGAAGGTCAACCAAACTGATAAGAGGCATGGAGGAGATCAGCTATGAGGAAAGATTAGAGGGACTGAATTTATTCTCTCTTGAGAAGAGGAGATTAAGGGGGGATATGATCAACATGTATAATACATAAGGGGGGGGGGATATAATCTCCATGTATAATACATAAGGGGGGGATATGATCTCCATGTATAATACATAAGGGGGGGATATGATCTCCATGTATAATACATAAGGGGGATATGATCACCCTGCATAATACATAAGGGGGGGATATGATCTCCATGTATAATACATAAGGGGGGGGATATGATCTCCATGTATAATACATAAGGGGGATATGATCACCCTGCATTATACATAAGGGGGGGATATGATCTCCATGTATAATACATAAGGGGGGATATGATCTCCATGTATAATACATAAGGGGGGGGGATATGATGATCTCCATGTATAATACATCAGTGGTTCATATAGTGAACTCAGTGTAGAGTTATTCACACTGAGGTCATCACAGAGGACAAGGGGGCACTCATTATGTCTGGAGGAAAATAAATTTAATCTCCAAATACAGAAAGGTTTCTTCACAGTGAGAGCTGTGAAAATGTGGAATAGACTCCCTCAAGAGTTTGGTTCTGGCCAGCTCAGTGGATTGCTGTAGGAAAGTCCTGGATTCTTTCTTAGATACACAGAATATAACTGGATACTAACATTTATATATTATTTTTTTTTATAGTTGAACTGGATGGACTTTTCTGCCAGACTAACTATGTAACTATAAAATAGGTCTCATAAGTACCAAGCCATGGACATTGATTTAACCTTTTTACTGCCACCAACATACAGTAAATACTATGGTGGTGGCTTTGGGGGATTTTACACACACTGAAGCTGCTGGGAATGTGTGTAAACCTGACAGGCCGACTTGGCTTTCACATGAAAGTTATACATCACACACCCTAGTAAGAGCGGGCCCTTCTCCCGTGTGGGCTCCCGCCATGTTTCCTGGGCTCCACGCACCTATTGGCGGACTCGGAAGTAGCATGCCACCAGGTACAGAAGGAGGAGGATGATCAGTAAGCATCCGTTCGCTGATCTACCCTTCTTGTTACTGACACAGAAGGGACATTTAAAACACCACCTCTAGGTCCTGGTATCCAGCCAGTATGTGGAAGAAGCTAATGGAGTGTGATCTGCACTCTTAGTTTCATTGGAGGGCAGGTAAGACATCAGGGGTCTTTGAGATTATATTGTAGATTTATATTTGGGGTTTTCTTTAAAGAGAACCTGTCACCAAAAAAGTGCATCGCATAGGGGACTTGTACTCTATGCAAAGCAGAAAAAAATAACAAAAAAAATGCAAAATATTGAAGTTATACCCAAGCATTTAAAATCTCCTCCCAAATATGTTTGAGCCCCCAAATCCATGCAACATGAATGTATATGCACTCGTCAGGGGCACCTACGTATATGAAACGTTGATTGTGATAAACGCGTTACATTTGGTCATGCACACTGGAGTAAGATCAGTAAATCCAGGCTCTCTATTCTCAGTTAACTCTGAACAGATGGCCTGTAGAGGCTTTTAAAACATCTATGGAAAATATAGGGTACCTAACTTTGTCGCCATTTCACGGGCAATTTTGAGGCTTGACATGTTGGGTATCTATTTACTCAGCACAACCTCAGCTTTTATACTGCACCAAAATGTTTTTTTACTGAAATGTTACTGAAATGATAAAAAAAAAATTGGAACTACCACCATTTTATTCCCTAGGGCAAACTGGTAGCCCTCCAGCTGTTGCCAAACTACAAGTCCCATGAGGCATCGCAAGATTGACAGTTACAAGCATGACTCCCAAAAGGTAGAGGCGTGATGGGAATTGTAGTTTCGCAACAGCTGGAGGGCTGCCAGTTTGACACAACTGCCCTAGAGTGTTTGCTTTCAGGAAATATATAATATTTGGGGAGTTTATGTAATCTTCAGGCCTAAAATGATTTTTAACCACTTGCCAACCGCACTATAGCCAAATGACAGTTACAGCGCGGTTGTCCAGTTCTGGGAGGGTGTCCTATGATGCCCTCCCGGCGGTACCATGAGGGCATGCTCCTGGCGATCTCCATGATCGCTGTGTCCCACGGACACAGCTGATCACGTGATGTGGTAAAAGGTCAATCACAGCGGCCTTTTACCACGTGATCAGCTGTGTCCAATGACACAGCAGATCACTGGTAAATACAGTTGCCAGTTATCAGCTGCACTTTCCTCACGCTATCACAGCATGAGGAAAGTACTGCTGATAACCGGCAATTGTTAGGACGGAACAGTGCCTGATGAGCAGTGCCACCAACAAGTGCCCAGCAGTGCCCCCCACCTTGCTGCCCATTGGTGCCGCCCATCAGTGCCTTCTATCAGTGCCCATCATTGTTGCATATCAGTGCCGCCTTTCAATGCCACCTATCAGTGCTGCCTCATCAACGCACATCCGTGAAGGAGAAAAATTACATGTTTGTAAAATTTTATAATAGAAAAAAGAAACCCCTTTTTTTAAAATTTTTTTTTGCTCTTTTTTTTTTGTTTATAGCGTAAAAAAATGAAACACCCCAGCGGCGAGTAAATACCACCAAAAAAAGCTCTGTTTTGTGTGGAAAAAAAAGATATAATGTCTTATGGGTTCAGTGTTGCATGACTGCGCAATTTTCATTCCAAGTGTGACAGCGCTGAAAGCTGAAAATTGGACAGGAAGGGGGTATAAGTGCCCGGTAGGAAAGGGGTTAAACATGTATGCAAAAATTCAAAAGAATAATTAAAGCACCTGTGCAAGGTGAAGGATATCCTGAAAACATTACCAATTGAGGAGTGCTTGAGGTTGGGAACCACTGTCATAGAACAGTGTGGTACCAGCATACCAGAAATGGCAGATTAGAATTTCCGATGGCCCTGGACTTCCTATGACACCAGACCCAAGTTTCTCTGTTACGATTGGACTTCTATTGTCAGTAATAAATTGTAGGGAGCTATAGAACTTCGGTCCTAAATACATTTTTTTTTTTAATCCATCTAACCAGCTAAAGACTTTATCCGACACCTGCTGGAGAGGGAGCCGGAGAAGAGGCTGACCTGTGAGCAAGCCCTGCAGCATCCATGGTAAGACCACCATGCTGACCACTCATCTTCCATTCCAATGAGAGAAACATATACGGGTGTATTTATATACAGGCATCACTTTGGCCAATGCAACACGTAGGTGTGAACAACTCCAACTGAAGACAATGTTCTTCCCCTTGCTATTGCGTTGCGGTTGCATTGGCCGAGGCTGTCCAATATGAGCACAAACCAAAGCAATCTATTCAACTAGTATCAAATCATATACTTCATAGGTGATGGTAGAAATATATAAAGGAGATTGTACAATCAATCGTACAGTTTATGGCTATATATGGGCAGCCTGGGATCACCAGCCAGCCATTTGTAAAGTAATCAGTCTTTATTGTCTATTGTCTCAAAACCATGCAAACAAAATACCTTCCATCAGCAAAGGAAATGAAAAACAGTCCATGTTTCTGGTATGATGAAACTAACACATTGGCTCACCGCCAGTATGAAAGTTCCACACCAGGGTTTAGAGTTCCCATCTGCTTTTGGATGCCAAAAATGCACACAGGAGTTCAGCGAACAATGTCTCAGAGACCAGGCGGTCCAGAGTCGCTTGCAGCTGTGAACCGCCGCACAGGTGCTGACTCCTCCTGTTCCTTTTCAGACCCCAGCTGTCCACCACCAGTTGTCCTGTACAGGGCTCTGGCCAGAAGGGGGGGGGGGGGTTGGGTGTGGGGCCCAGGCAGCTGGGTGAATCGGATGTGGGGGGCCCAGGCAGCTGGGTGAATCGGATGTGGGGGGGGGCCCAGGCAGATGGGTGAATCGAATGTGGGCAGGGAGGGTGATTGGCACGGTGGGTGTGCAATTACTGGAACTGATCCCCTCTATGGCTCTCTCTGCAGCAACTGTAAGCTGGCTTTTTCTCCTCTCCCTCCAATGAGCCTCTGAATTCTGGGCCCCAAATGAGGACTTGCCAATCTAAGGAAAACACTGTAAATCAGAGTCAACAAATGCACTCAACCGCAAATGACCCTTCAGGAGGTGGGAAAGGGTGCTCTGGCTTAGGTGCCTCCATACTGCAGTCGCGATCCAATGATAGAATGGAGCTGGATGCTCGGTGTCGTCCATAGAAGCAAATCTTTATTGGCTACATACTGTAATGAAGTACAGCACATAACATGCCAACGCGCTTCGGCTAGGAAACGTTATTCATACTGTAGATGTGCTGTAAGGCGAAACGCGTTAGCCTGCTATATTATGGAGCTAATAAAGATTCACTTTTATGGATGATACTGAGTAGTTGGCTCCATTCTATCTTTGAATCAGCACTATAAATCAGTCCTCTCCTACCAGACTACCTCTAAACTACTCACTACCCTGCATGGGTGAGAACCCCAGAGCAGGGGTGGACTGACAACTCATGGGGCCCCCGGGCAATAGGGGATCATGGGGCCCCTGTGTCGTTGCCCAAACTCAAAAAAGCCTATGAAAAAAGGTACCAGGGGCATCTCATGGGGCCCCCTAATGACCTCGGGCAGTGCCCGAGTTTTCAAATGGTCAGTCCGCCCCTGCCCCGGAGTACTAAAAATGTGTTCCTATTGTCCCCCTTAAAGGGACTACAACCCAAATAGTAAGAAATATATATCCTGCCTAAAGCAGGCCATACATGGGTCGAATTCTGACTGATTTGTCGATCGTAAATCGAAAACATTGTTTGTTCTGTAATCCGATGGTGCCACCAATGATTTCTAAAATCGGTTGTTTTTCATGAATTTTCCAGCATACCCGATAAACGAAATGGGGAGGAACCACAAAAATCATCCGGTGCCATTGCCCCACTAACAGAGCGAAAATCGGCCGATTATTCTTGAGTCCGATTTTTCTAAATCAAAAATTGACCCATGTATGGCCGGCCTAAGACCCCCTCCTTGGTCTCCTGAACAATGGCCAGCCTTAAATCTGAACTCCAGATGATATAAAATACACAGATGAATGCAGCTCGGCACTCATTGATTCATCATCTTCTTGCAATTCCGTATACCGCAGTATTTAGACTGGGAGAGGGAGTGGTAAGACCGGGAGCCATTCAGGTGTTTTGCATGCAACTGTGTTTACCAGTGATTTTGAAAACAGGACATGAGAGCAGAGTGAGCAGAAAGTTGACCTCCCCAGTCTGCTGCTGCTTTTCCAATATCCATTTATAAGGCGGAGGCTGGAGTGGGGAAAGCAATGTATTCCTTCGCTATAAGTGGTGTGAACCACTTGGCTGCACTGTGTGGCGGAGCTGTGTAAATCTCAGGACTGGATGGACAGCAATACAAATCCTTTGGCAGGTAAAACAAGTCCCATATATGTAGTTTTATCTGTGTATTTAGATCTTTTCCAGCAGCCAAGTTTTAATGCATAGTAAAATATCTTTGGTGGTTGAGGCCCCTGCAGGCAGGACAATGTGTACAAGCAATGCGTTCGCAATTTCTCAGACCTTCCTTTTCCAATTCCAATCTGTTTTTATTTTTTTTTTTTTCCTCCAGCTTGTACTTTAGTTTCTTTAAACCACCAACAGAAAAAATATGTCTTCATTCCTCCTAATAAACCGGCATCCCATGGCCCCGCAGTGCTTGGCAGAGCTCCCAGCCTGTCCCCACTGCATTCTGGGAGCATTTCAGGAGTCCCGATAATTGAGTGCAGTTTTTCTTATGTGATGAATAAACGACAAAACATTTAATAGAGTAAATGATACTTGTGTACCCATTCTGTGTGATGGATGCCGCAGTGTTGGTGCTCCCAGCAAAGGCAATCTCTTTGGTTAGATAGAAAAATGACCCGATTGGGGCTCCGCGGTTCCCGAAGGAGAGGCGGGAGTCAGATCCTCCAAATGAAAGGAAGAAATACGGAGTTGGAGCTGATCTCCGGGCACACATCTAAATACACAGATGAAATAAAGATAAGGGGAGGTTTTACCTGCCAAAGGATTTGTATTGCTGTCCATCCAGCCCTGAGATTTACACAGCTCTGCCACACAGCACAGCTTTGTCTAACTTCAAAGGAGACCTGACTTTTCTCTACTGCAGGTAAGTAATAGAACAAAGTCCTGTCCCTGCCCCAGCCTGTGAATGGACAGTGAAGGAGAAGCAGCAGAATGATGGGCTCATCTCTCTAACATACTAAATACATTGTATGACTTATTAATGAATACAGATCTACAGTAATATCTGTCATCCATATCTGTCTGGTGGTAAGATTTACAGTACACCTGTCACCTGTGCAATTCAAACCTACAACATTATCTATCTATCTATTCATCCATCCATCCATCCATCCATCGTGTCTATTTATCCATATCTATCCATCCATCCACCGTGCCTATTTATCTATATCTATCCATCCATCCATCGTGCCTATTTATCCATATCTATCCATCCATCCACCGTGCCTATTTATCCATATCTATCCATCCACCGTCCATTTATCCATATCTATCCATCCATCCATCCACCGTGCCTATTTATCCATATCTATCCATCCATCCACCGTGCCTATTTATCCATATCTATCCATCCATCCACCGTGCCTATTTATCCATATCTATCCATCCATCCACCGTGCCTATTTATCTATATCTATCCATCCATCCACCGTGCCTATTTATCCATATCTATCCATCCATCCATCCACCGTGCCTATTTATCCATATCTATCCATCCATCACCCACCGTGCCTATTTCCATATCTATCCATCCATCCACCCGTGCCTATTTATCCATATCTATCCATCCATCCACCCCGACCGTGCCTATTTATCCATATCTATCCATCCACCCATCCACCGTGCCTATTTATCCATATCTATCCATCCATCCCACCATGCCCTATTTATCCATATCTATCCATCCATCCATCCACCGTGCCTATTTATCCATATCTATCCATCCACCGTGCCATTTATCCATATCTATCCATCCACCGTGCATTTATCCATTCTAATCCATCCATCCGTGCCTATTTATCCATATCTATCCATCCATCCACCGTGCCTATTTATCCATATCTATCCATCCATCCATCCACCGTGCCTATTTATCCATATCTATCCATCCATCCACCGTGCCTATTTATCCATATCTATCCACCATCCCATCCAACCCGTGCCTATTTATCCATATCTATCCATCCATCCATCGTGCCTATTTATCCATATCTATCCATCCATCCATCCAGCACCGTGCCTATTTATCCATATCCTATCTATCCATCCATCCACCGTGCCTATTTATCCATATCTATCCATCCATCCACCGTGCCATTTATCCATATCTATCGGGCGATCCATCCACCGTGCCTATTTATCCATATCTATCCATCCATCCATCGTGTGCCTATTTATCCATATCTATCCATCCATCCACCGTGCCTATTTATCCATATCTATCCATCCATCCACCGGGCCTATTTATCCATATCTATCATCCATCATCCATCGTGCCTATTTATCCATATCTATCCATCCATCCCATCCACCGTGCCTATTTATCCATATCTATCCATCCATCCACCGTGCCTATTTATCCATATCTATCCATCCATCCACATCGTGCCTATTTATCCATATCTATCCATCCATCCACCGTGCCTATTTATCCATATCTATCCATCCATTTATCCATATCGCGAATTATCCATCCTGCCTATTTATCATCTATATCATCCATCCATCCACGTGCCTATTTATCCATATCTATCCATCCATCCACCGTGCCTATTTATCCATATCTATCCATCCATCCATCGTGCCTAATTTATCCATATCTATCCATCCATCCCATCGTGCCTATTTATCCATATCTATCCATCCCATCCACCATCTGCCTATTTATCCATATCTATCCATCCAACCGTGCCGATTTATCCATATCTATCCATCCATCCATCCATCGTGCCTATTTATCCATATACTATCCATCCTCATCCGTGCCTCCGTGCCTATTTCTATCCATATCTAGCCATATCCATCCATCCACCGTGCCTATTTATCCATATCTATCTATCTATCC